AATCATTTCCTTTGTTTTCCGTTTAAAGTAATGATCCTTCCCTTTCATGTTTCTTTTAGAGATAGTAATTTCCTTTCATTTTCCTTTTAAGAAATTATGGTTTCCTTTAATTTTCCCTTTAAACATGCTCATTTCCTTTCATTGTCCTTTTAAAGATTATCATTTCCTTTCAATTTCCTTTTAAAGATGATCATGTCCTTTTGTTTTCCTTTTAAATTAATGATCATTTCTATTCGTTTTCCTTTAGCTTCCTCTGGTGTGCCATCTTAGTGCACCTATTGGGAAATAGTAATTTCCTTTTGTTTTCCTTTTACATAATGATCCTTCCCTTTCATCTTTCTTTTAGAGATAGTAATTTCCTTTCATTTTCCTTTTAAAATATGGTTTCCTTTAATTTTCCCTGCAAAAATGATCATGTCTTTTCATTTTCCTTTTAAAGATTATCATTTCCTTTCATTTTCCTTTTAAAAATAATCATTTCCTTTCACTTTCCTTTTAAAAAATATGGTTTCCTTTAATTTTCCCTGTAAAAGTGCTTATTTCCTTTCATTTTCCTTTTAAAGATTATCATTTCCTTTCATTTTCCGTTTAAAAATAATCATTTCCTGTCATTTTCCTTTTGAACAAGTATAGTTTCCTTTCATTTTCCCTGTAAAAAGGCTCATTTCCTTTTGTTTTCTTTTTAAAATAATGATCATTTCTATTCGTTTTCCTTGTGCCATCTTAGAGTCCTGTGGTGTTGTCCTGGAGTGACCCATGTGCCATCTTACACGTTGCAGGGTTAGTCCTCTAGGCTCTCCAGTTGATGAGGTCGTAAATTTTCCTGTGCCATCATACTCTTTCCAGCCGGATGTGCCATGTATTCGGGCCCCGGTATAATATATTCTAATATCCTTAGTCCAATTAGCCTTGAGCTGGCGATCTGGGCTGTGACAGTGTTTCCAGGCATGTACTACTGAGGTTTGCCAAGTTCCCAAGCAGCTTGAAAGTCGCGTTCATCGACTTCAAGGAGAACCGAAGCAGTCTGAAGCTCTTTGGCCCAGCAGTCAGTCGATTTCGCAAGTGTAGGGGGGATGTTTAGACCATCGAAACTTGGACGTGGGAATGGTATGTAAGGCCGGTTCGGCAGCGCATTTGGCAAGCTCTTCGGGCTCAGATGTTCCACTAAGACAATGAGGAAATACAGTGAACAGTGGTTCTCGAAAGGACTTCCTGATCTGCAAAACAATTGAAGGGAGCTCTTTGCGTGAGAAAAAGCTCACAATTATAGTGTTGCTGCAGCCTAGTTTTGCAAACAGCCGAAACTGAAACTGAAGTGAGACCCAGATAATTATGTATCTTTGCAAGAAAACTATGTATCATTGTGCATCTACCCTTCACGAACCAAACACACCCAAGTGGACCACTCCTTTGTGGAGGTGATTTTCTCCATTTTTGGAGAGTCCGGTCTCCCTTCTTCGGACAGGAGAAGAACATCCACGCGGAGGTGGACAAGATCCACCCGCGGCAGAAGCGTCGCTACTTCAGCTGCTTGGTGGATGGGCAGTGCTCCGAGGTGCCAGGCAGCAATGGTCGTCGCAAGGCCAAGTACACGGTGGAGCTGCCGGGATATCCCATTCTTGGAGATGGGAAGAGTGACGCTTGGAGGAATAAGACGACTTGTTTTTCGTGTTTTGAGAATTCCATGGGACCGGAAGAGGGCTTCTTTGGCATTCCTGATTCCTAAATCCTAAGTCTACGTTTCGCAGGGAGGGGGTGGTTGTGATAGGCTGTGATGTTGGGCTCAATGTAGGCAGTTTGAAATCTGCATTTGTGGGGTGATGAGAGGGCTCTTGCGGTTTCCTTGTTCCGAGAAAACATGCTTGAAGTAGCATCTTCCGTGAAACGCATAAAAACATACTGCTTGAACCGCTTGGAATAAGTATGGCGCAAGGGCTATGCTTGGTTGTGCCATGCTCGTCGATCAACATTCCTCCCATGAGAAATGTGAGGACAACCAGAATCACGCCATCATCTTCTTGCGTGGGATCTTCAGCCAATGCATCGATGCCAACCAGGGCGGCTACTTCGAACAGATGCTGATGTTGCCCTGTGTTCTGGGCGAGTTCCGGACCATCGACCGGGGAGATGATGCGGCCAAGCAGATTATTGGCCTGCCCGAAGCTGGGCGTGTGGTGGTGGTGGTGGGGGGTAGAAAAGGCAGAGAAGGGCGGTGGTGACACAACGAGGGAAGATTTGTTGATGGGCAAGGGGCCCCACTACTGGCAGTGGCTTGGGCATGCGGCATGAAGTTGGTGGTTTTCTTAATCTCTTCCCTGAACTGTGATTGATAGTTGCGACTCATCGTCGTGCTCTTTCAGATCCGTTTGTCCCCGGAGTTTGTTCATGATCTGCAGGTAGGCAGGTGATTTGGGAGCAGCAAGCATGCTTGGACACGAAGTCATGTTCTGGAGGGCGAGCGTCGTGATGGGAGGTCATGGGAGCTGAAGAGCGCTCCCCTTTAGTCTGAGCAACCGCCAAAACGGTGCGATGACGATTTTGTTTAAAACGAATCTAATTTTATCATATTTTATCTAATTTTGCAAAAAGCTTCTAACGCGATAAGGCCCCCAGCCATAACCGCCATAACCTTGCGCAAAAACCATGTCCTCGACTCGACACTATGCTTTGGCAGAAGGTCATATATTGAAGATTATTGAAGAACATGTTCCTTTCTTGAAGGAAGATATTACAAATGGGATTGTGTATGGGAGGGGCCAGGGGATTTGTTCGGCACCTTCATTCGTCTAAGAGCTCACTGGGCTTGCTGACCCCGGACACGGTCCCTCTTTCCATCACCGTGTTTAATCCAACACATTCCCATCTATGACTATATGGGAGTTGATCTAAAACCCCGTGTAAGGAGTTTTATGTAAAACAGCCTTTCTGATGTTGTTAAAACCATCCGCGAAAGATTCGCGATGAGGTGCGCGAAAGTAACTTTTTTTCCGCGAAAGATTTATCGAAGGTCATCGCTATCATATGTTTTCCTTCCGACTGACAAAGAATAGAAATACAAGGCAATCCTCCGGCAGAGCCGGTGGGCGGAAGTGTCACAGACTAACGAACTGAAGCCTCAACATTTCCGTGCCCAGCCCTGGCAGTGCGTAAAGGATTCTCCGATTCCTGTTCCCACTATCACAGACTAGCAACCTGAGTAGTAGGCACAGCCCTGACAGTGAGGCAACGACCTGCAGCTGCTCTGACGGGCTGCGCAGATGTTTGCAAATCTTACGGCTTTTCGGGGAAAGCACCAGTGAAATTTCGCGAAAGATCCGCGAAAGGCTCGCGAATGTGCCGCTAAAGTCCAGGTTCCCAGCTTGAGGCACCCCAACATTCCCCAAGCTGCGTCACCCTGTGTTGGTAGCTGGCACGAGGATTGGGTTGAGTTGTGCCTGACTCTATTTGGCACAATTGTCGCGCAGATGCTGCAACTGACCCTGAGTAACTGTGGAAACTTTCAACCTTCTGCTGGGGTCATGCTGCAAGATGTCTGTCCCTAGTTTGTGATACTAGTATGACATGTTCCGGCTCATGTTAGCCAGACATGGTTGCAGGACCATGCTTCGCGATGAGGCTGCGAAAAAATATTATCCGCGAAGAATGGCCATTCCAGGATGAAAGAATATTGAGCAACCACCATATAGGTGGCTTCATCATCCACGCTTGGCAATTGGAGCCTGGGCCTCCTACTCGTACAACATTCCCTAACCAAGCATGATTGGATCCCATCATTCATGTGGGTACTTGTAGGAGGTTTGATATGGTTAGAGAACCCGCAATCCTATATCATACTATATAATGTGCATCTAGCTGATTTTTCAAGAAACCAATTCAGCCGGATTCCCTCGTCGGGCAAGAGAACCCAAGCCTGATTGCGTGTCTTCAGCCCGCCATGGTGCGTGTTTTCAGCTTGAGTGGGACTGAGCTACTGAGCAGTACAGATGTGCTCAGCGTTGAGGAGATCTACCGACAGGTAGGTGGGGTTCAATGAAATGGGCATCCCCCCTCAAACTTCAGGCCTAGACAACCATTTGGTTTTGCTTGTCCATCGTTCTCTTGGCCGGGTGGAGCCATCACCAAGTCAAATACCACAGTTCAACAGTAGGCCTTTTCCCTTCCAGCAACCTAAGTTCGGGGTCTTGGGACTGCCATTTTTGGTATTTGAATCAGTCATTGTCCCTTTCAGCTGTTGTTCTTTGATGAAAGACGACTCTTCGCAGCCAGGTGGCGAACAAGATGGGTGCCCACTGCAAGCTAATTGGGCCGAATGGCAGTGAATTGACCTCTGAGATGCTTTGCGAAGAGCTGGACCTGACGGCTGTTACTAGCCCCTTGGACCCCTTGCTGAAGATGTTGGGTTTGTTGTCGGCTGATGCGGAACCCTTTGCAGAGACTATGAGTCGAGAAGATTTGGAGAAGATTGGGCTGACATTGGGACGCGAAGTGTTAGAGACAGCCTGCCGTCATGGGGGTGCGGGACACTTATGCGGCTACTTGCAAGTCGCCTGGCCCTTGGATCGTCCTTGGCCCAGTAGCTTTGAGAAAGGCTACATGAAGATCATTCCCTCCAGACAAGTGCTCCCAGCAGGTACACAGCTGCGCCTCTCTTGCGCGCCAGGCACTCATGGTGAGGAAGGCCTGAAAACGCTCTCAAAACCAATGACGTTGGCGGACTTGCTGAAGCTCCGAGATGAATATCGCATCACTTCCGAAGAGCGGAAGCAGCTCTTACAGTCGCCTGCCGCAGTCTCACAACAAGCAGAGGAGGTCTGTCGATTGATTCGGGTCTTGGATTTTGAGCCTCAGGAAGTACACTTGCAGTTGGGATACGAGTTTTACAGACAGGACGACTGGTTCTGAAATATGAACTGACAAGCTGACGGTTCATTGCTTTGAAAGCTTGCTTTTCCGGTGCCAGCGCCGGCATGTACAGCGCTGATGCTGATGCGCGGTGCCAGCCAGGATCCAATGAGAGAGGGAAACCGGTCATGTTGATGAGTGAGACTATGATTGACGGCTGTGCCTTTTGCAGTAGGGCCTTAGGGGATCACAGCTAGACCTCCCGCCAGCAACAGTTCAACCATGTTGTATAGTATCCACTGGTTTGCTGTTCCACTTCTGTCCGTCCGATGACGGGGTTTCAACCGTTGCCAACGGGCCCTCAACCTGACGACATGACAACGGCGCTCCGCGCTCCGTCGCCCAGGAACACATCACCAGCGACATCGGCTCCGTGGGCGACTTCGCCGCGGGCTCGGAGGTGGCCTTTGGGACCATCCTGCAGCGCACCTACTCGGCGCCCCGGTGGTGCACGGGCATGGTGCCGGAGACCCGAAGGTTTGAATGGAGAAATATGGAGAAGTTAGTGGAGAAGTGTGCGTGGTCTAGCTTTATTGTTACTAGATGTTACTAGTAGTGATGGCCTCCAACCTAGAAGGTTTGGATGGTTTGGGGTTGAGTGTTTGCCTCGTTTGATCGAAGTCCTCGGTCACTGAGCCTTCGCAGACGAAAGCACATGCTTGCTGAGAAGACCAGCCGGTGTTTCAAAATCGCAAAGTTTGGACTGACGATAGATCCCTTTTGAATGAAAACATATTTTCGATTTCCTCTTTGGCTCGCGAAGCGCGGGGGCACACCTGGGGTTGTGGTCAGTCGGTCCTGAACGGGTTTGTGAACCGAGTCCTGGTCGACAGAAGATGGCCGGCATATATTGTGTACATAAGGAAGATGTGGTTTCAAGTTTACCATATATTTCATATATATAGATCCGGACTGGAACTTAGAATGCTATCGTGAGGATTTCAAACCTTTTTGTTTTCCATTGTTAGAATGTTACGTGAGAAATGCTCTAGGCTTAGAATGCCATTTTCCAAAGTTCCAGTCCGGAAAGCACATTTGTATATATGTGTGCAGGTGATGAGGCTTAGAACTACCACTACCACGACGACGACGATTACTATATGTGCGCAGGTTATGAATCAATAGTATAGGCTTGCCAGTGACACCTTTGACCCATTCTAAGTCTACCCCACAGTTTTGTTCCCACGTAGGCATTCCAATCCCGAGGATAGAGATGTGAGGATTTTCGAGGCATTCTAAGTTTCTGTCCGGAGCATTATATCTAGATTCTAGATGGTGGTTTACATAAGTTTCGGATGATGGGAGTCCTCTCGCTAACTTCCCTTCCCGCCATGTTCTGGTTTAGACTTACTTAAAAGACTGCAACTCTCTACTCTCATCCAGTTGCATTGCATGGGGAGAGGTTTTCTCATCAAATCGTCTGCCCAAGGTGTTGGGCGCCAGGATGCACTATGGGCACCCAGACATCATGAACAAGCAGCCACCTGGATGGACAATACAGATTTATTTGAACGCTATTGATGGACAAGTAATCTAGAATGGAGATAGATTTGCTGTATCTGGGCTTTCAGGGAGGGAATGACCACCCCAGGTTCATTTGGTGGTTTGTGGTTTTTTGGATTCCTGGATGGCCCTCATTTTACAGGAACTATTTGAGCTCTGATCAACTCAAAACGCCAGCAAAACTTGATCATGGTACGACTGAGAGTCTGACTGCCATAATGTTTTCTTACTTTGAACATGCATTATATTCCTGGACCTTCCACGGGTGTATTTTTTTGCCGTTTGGCGAAACAACGCACATTTCAGTCGCTTGCCCTCAAAAACAGCGTTTCATTTCAAAACACATTTAAACACATGCAGTTTCCATGTTTTTAAAGAGGTTGCCAAATTAGCGGTCGGCAAAAGTCGCCGTTTGGTTGGAGAACGTCGCCCTTTTAACACCTTGACGTAGCATAGAACACATTTCAGTGTAAAAGGTACTTTAAGACAAAGTCGTTGGCGTTTGCTTTAAACAGCTGTTTTTTTGAACATGCAGAAAAACGGTATACTAAGGCATAATTCGCTATGAAGACCCACGTATGATTGTATAAAGGCCTGGCGAAATCTCACGCCAAGTCGACGCCATTTTGCCAAGCATTGTGGTTTTGGAGGCCCACATGTTTGGAGATGTTTTGATCCTGTTTCTATGTATGTTTCCTAGAGCGTTAGAGACCGAACGTCCAGGATGTTGGAGCTGGTGTGTCGTGGTTTCGTTGTTGTGGGTGGCTGATGGGGGTTGCCACAAAAGGGTCCCCGGTGGTTCTTCTCTGTTCTTGTTTAACGGGGGTCTAACGGATCTATCGAAGGTATGAATGAACAGAGTACGTAGCACAAAACTACTGATCTCATTGCATCCACAGAACATGTGCCGCTTTGGATGAGGTACATGATGCAACAGGGCGGCGTGTCCAAGGCAGGGATGATGTTCCTATCTAAGAAGAGCCTGTTTTGTCCATGAAACATGATGGAATACATTGGAATACATGGAATGCTTCAGTCCAATGGTCACTACTTCTTTGACACACCTTCAGTCCACGGGGCCGACCCCGAAACAACCACCGTCCTTCTACAGTCGGCCGTCGGCTGCCCCACACCTTCCGTCGCCCGCGCGGCCGCGGTGAGGCGACGAAGACCATCAACCTGTCGGAGGACATCTTCGCCGGCATGGACTTCACCCTCCGTGGGCCGCGGGGCCCGGACCCGGTCGGGCGTAGCAGTGTACGGTGCGGGGTGGTGTGGGAGACGGTGGTGGAGAACGGGGTGGAGAACGGCCGGGTCCCTTGGAGCTGGTTTGTCAATGGATGTTGACCATGATCTTTGCGTCAGAGTGAACATGCTAGGTTGGTTGTTAGGAGGGGTACGAGGATAGAATAGGTCAGAGCCATTCTATGAGATTCCCTTTGGACAATGCTAGCAAGACGAGAGGCAAAAATTGAAGAATTGAGACTGGCCTTCAAGATCTTTAAGCATGGCCCTGGACCCAACATCAAGTTGTCAGAATGCTTTCCCCTCAGTACTGGTAGATTGGGCACATCATTTGACAGGACATCTCAGAGGTCAAAATTCTAAACCTTTGCGAAGGGATGAAGGGTGAGAAATAGACGCCTCTTCGGTGGTTCCCTGCTCTTGGCTCTCGGGGTGACAACGCGCTGCGGAGAAGAGCACTGAGGCAGGGCCGGAGCATCAAGCACTGCGAGTACTTCCACGTGGCCAAGGTGGGAATGAGCCGAGCCTACGTGGCCAAAGAGAGAGGCCAAAGCTTTGATCGGCAACGAGTTGAGCATGACAACCACCAAAATCTCCAGCCAACTACCCCGGAAAAGAATCATCTGGACTCTTGACTCAACAGAGAAGGGATGGTCCCGGTCACCCATGCGTTTTCATTCGCAGACATGGCCAACTGGTTGAGACATGGAGGGTCGCACTGAAGCAGCTCGTCACCTCAGATGATACATACGGGACGAGCTGCGGGAATCTGGTCATGACAACAACGAGCTGCTCAGAGGAACAGAGCCAGCCAGCGAGTGGTGACGATTCTCATTATATTGTAAGGACGCAGCGGCTAAACTGGCTACGTAGACACCTCAGACTGTCAGACGTTCAACTTCCTTTGCGTTTAGAATCCTCTAATGTCAACATGCAAATACATGCAAATAATGTTGAGAAAACAATATGAGAAGGTGCTGCAAAGTGACGATTCTGAAAATGTGAACACTCTGACGTCGTTGCATTCTCCATTGCACCGTCGCCCTTCATCCGCTTCATACTCCCTCTGCGCGAGGGCCGCGACTTGGGCTTCAACACGGTGCTGGGCTTCTTCTCCAAGCCCCGCGGCGTTCGTCCATCGGCGGCGTTCGTCCATCCACCGGTTTGGGTTCGGTTCGGACAGAAACGACGCCCTCACGAACGACGCCCTCACGAAGTGGATTGAAGATGATCGAAATGGTGGGAAGACTTGGGATCGCCATGGCCCAACTTGCGGATCGCCGCGCGTTCCAATCGCACGTTCGCGTTCGCGAGGCTCTCCTCGGGCGCTGGAGAGCAGATCCTCACGCGACAGATGTTCCGCTTGGGGCAGCTGCTGCACCTGCCCGAGGCACCCCTGAAGAGGGGGAGTGGAGAGGAAGCTGGGGATTCCTCAAAGACCTATACAACACCGCAGGGTCTAGTCTAGTCGATTGCTATAGGTACTGGTACCATAAGCATCCATAAGCGCCTGTTAGGTCGACGTTTCATGTTTCTTTGCAATGCTTCGAAGGGACTACCATCCCTCGTGCGGCGTTTTGCCTGCACCCATTCTGGAGATCGAAGGAAACTGCATGAAACTGCAAGTACAGCAATTGTTTCAAACAAAATCAGTCCTCAAATGCTTGCGAGTCTACCAACACCCATGGTTTCAAGTGTTTTTTAACGTTTCCTGCGACCGGCGACCGGGAGACCTTTGCAAGACCTCCCCGGCCTCCCCCCTTTTTTCGGGCGCCGTCGGCGTTCATCCGGGTGAAGCCGGACCGAGGTTCGGAGGGGGAAACCCGGAAACCCGGTCACACATCTCGACCCTGTGGGCGACCAGCCACCCGGAACAACACCTAATATATGCCGAGGTTCGGAGAATGCCCACACGACGAGAACGGACCCCCAGAAAAAGCGCCAGCGCCGCGCCGAGGCGCTCACCTTCTACTATGCCCATGTGGGATTCTATGTGACGCAGGGCTTGGTGTCGGCCTCCATGCCGATCCTCGTGAGGGGCCCGAGCTGCCCAAGCTCACCGGGACGCGATGGGACCGCGCTGCGTGGTGGTTTGGCCATTCCAAACGCGGTGCGTTTGGGGACACGGCTCCAAACCAGACGGCTCCAAACAAGCACCTGAAAATATCTTATCTTCATGGGCGGTTAGCGTTGCAGGAAAATTGGGCAAAGAAGTTGGGCCAAATTGATTGGGGGGCTACTTAATCATGTGTTCACATTTACGCGGACAACTAATGGGCTGGTGCTAAATGGGAGTCACAATGCCATGAGATGGGTAATGATCTCCTCAGTGAGAGCAACTCAAGCTCTGCAATTCAGGGCTTTGGATGTTCTCGTTCTTTGGGGCGCCCAAACGGAACACATCCCACCACTTTTGCAATCGAGGTGACATTTTGTGTGTATGTTTCCCCACTGACTCCACTGCAGCAGCTGCGGCCTGAGGTGTTTGCTTGGGCCGCGCTGGCCTTGGAGCGTGGGTTAGCGCAGGTTCAGTGGAGAGACACTGAAAACTTTGAGACGCTTGACCAAGTCGACCTCTGGCTTGCTTGAATGCTTAGGTGGTATTGGCAGCTGACTGCTGGAGACCAAGTTGGATGAACGATGAACCAGATTTATATTGTATTTTTGGGACTGGATCAAGACACCTGCGGCCGTTTTGGTCTGTCCACTGATTCCATTGGCAAGCTATTTTGGACAGGTTTGGACCCACTGAATCTCCTCGCATCTCCAGTTGCACGTTGCAGCTTTCGCACAGTCCTCCAAGGCGAAGACAGCTTTCGATCCTTTGAGAACTATTGTGCCCTGGCGTTCGACGGCATTGATCACTGGAATCGCTGGCAGAGAGCTGGCGCTAGACATGGGCATTGATGAACTATGACGAACTCGGTGACAGGTCACAAATCCAGCAGCCATGAATGACAACATGGAGGATCATCAAGGTAGATTTAAATATCATTATCCCAACTGGGACTAGTGGAAGTGTGTGGGGAAAAGAACCTAAGGTGAGAACAGGTGGGCGACTCTCTCTTGGATGATGGAGGCTTTGACGACGGAATTTCTCAACCTCCGACTCCAATCCCATCAATCCCCTCAAATTGCCATTGGCCCCGTTTTTTTTTTGGTGGCTTCATGTGGCTTCTGTGATTTTTGACTTTGGTAGCTCATGTGTCTTTTTGCTTTTGGGGCTTGCGTCTGCGAAATCTGGCGTTTGTTTGCCCACACACACAAAGAAACACACATATGCAAATCCAAGCCCAAGCCATATTAGGAGGTGACTCCTCCTTGCAAACGGAAAAAAACACCTTTTGCTAGCGCCTGTTGAACATGTTCAGCGCAGCTCTTGGGGGAGGTGCTGCAGTACTGCTGCGCAGTACTGCTGCGCCCCCTCCAGCTTTTTCAGACCAAGGGAACCACACAACAAATGAACAACTAAACCAAAGCCAATCTAAAGCCAAGACCACTCAGTTTAGGCAAGACATATTCCACCCCCGAACAATCCCTCTAGGCATCTCTAGGCTATATAAAAGCATGCTCCTAACGTACAGCATACGTACAGCATCCCTCCGACATTGGTCTCCGGGCTTGCACTGACTGAAGTTCTCTCTTGAAACATCAGCAGATGTTGATGACGATGTTAGCTTATGTGGGATTGAAGCTCTCAAAAGATTCAACTGAAGAGCAACTAAGGTTCCTCAATTCCGGCAGCAGAGGCCCCTCACCACAGGAAACAAAGCTGTCAAGATGAAGGATTGATGAAATATGTTTGTAGGTAGGGGGGCGGTGTGAAGTTTTGATGAGCTTTGCGCGTCCTCAAATCTAAGGATGAAGTAGTTTCTTTCAGCATAGGACATGATTTGCAGGATTGGAACTGCGCAGAGCCCTTGGCCAAAGACATATCCCTTTGTCTCTTTGCTGTATGATGCTGTATGTGTCTTGATCGGATCGGGGCCGCAGGGCGCAGGCCCAGGGTACACCTTTTGATTCTTGCAGATCTGCTTCCATGGGCAGGCCATGGCTAGACTTCTGTCCATTTGGTACTCCTGGGCCAAAGCCTGAGCAGAACGATGGAACGATTCCGGGTGATTCAGCTCATCGTTTGAAGAGCGTTTTGCATTTACCAACCGAACCCATCGAGGACCGGAGACGAGAACCTCCATTCACCTGGGGACCTCCACAGGCCACGAATCAAGTCCCGGTCACCCTAATAGCGATGGCCTCCAACCTAGTAGTGATGGCCTCCAACCTAGTAGTGATGGCCTCCAACCTAGTAGCGATGG